TTCTATAAGTATGTGGTGAAGTACTTTGGCTTGTAGGAAGATGTAGTTACTGATTGCGACACAAGGTTCACTGGCAGATTCTAGACGGTGTTGTTCAACCTCATGGATTCCGAGTTAAAGTTCTTAGTAGCAAGCCATCCTCAGATTGGCGGACAAAATGAACGGATTAATGCCTTGCTGGAAGATTATCTGCGGCACTATGTTAATGGAAGTTAGAAAAATTGGGTGAAATTGGTTGACACTGCTCAGTTTTGTTATAACTTGCACAGATATTTGGCTACAAGAATGATTCCCAGTGAATTGGCTATGGGATAGTAGCCACTTACTCCTCAAGAATTGGTGAAACAGAGGACCGGATGTAGATGTCCTGTTGCATATTGGTTTGCTTATGTCAAGCAAGAGTTGTCTGACGAGGTAAAGGACAGCTTGGCCAAAGCTGCCCGTCGAATAAAGAAGTATGTTGATCAAGATCGCTGACCAATGAAATTTCAAGTTGGTGATCTAGTCTTGCTGCGATATGGAAGAGGATCGATAACAAAGTAGTGCACTGCAGAATTGTTCCCAAATACGATGATCCCTTCGAGGGGATGAAGTTGCCTAATCGATTGAAAATTCACCCAACTTTTCATGTGAGTTTTTTGAAGTCTTTCATGAAGAATTGCTGAATTCTCGAAGGAAATAAGCCAGGAGGGCTCTGCCTATAATCAGGAAACAGTTTGACAAGGAGGTCGACAAGATTTTATGATGGGTCAGNAAAGGAAACAAGCCAGGAGGGCTCCGCCTATAATCAGGAAACAGTTTGACAAGGAGGTCGACAAGATTTTATGATGGGTCAGAGTAAGAAGAATCGCAGAATTAATTTTTTGGTACGTTGGAAAGTTGGTTATGATGCAGACGCGAGTTGGGAAAGAGATGTGCACAGTGTGGGGGAAGTTGCTGGCATGTGTACACATGTAGAGCAGTTATGGGCAGTTACTGTCTGGGTAAGCCAACAGTTGCAACCTTCATTGCCATGAGCAACACATTGTGGGAGTAACAGAGGAATTCAGCCATGATCAGCAGGCTTTGGGAGCGTATTTGACAAGTGCTTGCATTGCTTAGTGTAACCACCACTTTGTATGCTATTTATAAGCATGCTAGGGTCTGCAGTGCAACCAAGAGAGCTTGAACACGTTTTGTAAGCAGACCCCTAGCCGGTTTCCTTTAGGCTTGTTGAGAAGTAAAACATTTGGCCATTTGGCCTGTAAAGCTTGTGTGTTTGCTGTGAGTTTGTGGGTTTGCCCATATTCTATTCGTGTGTACATTTCTGTGAGCATTTGAGTGCATTGGTTGAGAATGAGTGTTAGATCTCAGTGCCATCACGAGACAAAATTTGAGTGAAAATTTGACCCCTTGACACCAACCAATAAAGCTTAACTGCCACCAAAACTTTTAAGATAATTTTTAGCAAGTTAAATGGCTAGGTGAAGTTAATATCTGCATTTTCACGGCTTGCTTGGCACTTGGGGCCATTGTATTCTACTGGAATGCATATTCTTGGCTACAGTAGCATGTAATGAATAGGTTATAGGGGCCATGGCTTTCGATGGCCATAAGGTGGCTCCGCCACTGTGCTTGCCTGATGTCTGCTTATTAAATTCAACACGTCGAAAAATTGTCTGTGTTTTGCATTTTGGTCTTGAATATGTAATAGATAATTATGTCAAATTTCTAATGTTTTTAAAGGGTTAAGCTGTCTGCTGACATGTTACATACACTGTAATTACTGTATTATAGGTTGTTCAGTGCTATAAATCAACTAATGATTGTGTGAAAGCTTTGATTGTTAACTATATGGCTGAGTATTTATTGCTTGTACAAATATAGCTTTACGAGTAATTTGGGAAGTATGCCAAAATGTTCGGTTGATCAATGTTTATATACTTCAATCAATCTGCCTGAAGCAAGGTTTTACACGCAGCCTGGCCTTGTTTTTAATGTTATGGGTTCATTCTCAATCACAATGTCCTGTTTTTGTGCCTTAGCATTTGTTTTATAGTTGAGAATGTAGATCTGCATCTTTGCGGAAAAACCAGTTTGTTCTTCTTTAGATTTGCGCATGTACTTTATTGTTAATTTTATTGTTGGAATGAATTTGAATGGAGAGAGAATTTTATTGTTGGAATAAATTGTAATCAACGAGAGAGAATGCTACAGCCGAAGCCACAGAGTTGATTTCTTATTCTGTGAGATTGTTGATTTTTTTTTTAAATATTTACGTTATGGAGTATCTTTGCAAAGAAAACTTAAATAATAGAAAGAAAAGCTTGAAAATGGTGGAAGACAACTTTTTCTGTTGGTTGCTTTTTCTATAAATTTATTGGGAAGAAAGCGAAATAGCTAAGAGTAGTATGTGAAGTACAACAATCCAAAGTGTATAGAAGTTTTAAGAAAGCAAGGAGAAAATAACCCTATGAAAGACGTAGAGAAGTTGCACATAGGAGTGGCTACTCCAGTGTCTACATGTTTTGTCAAGTTGAGAGATCCATCAGTGTAGCATATTTGTTGTGGGTGTTATGATATATGACTAATTAATTGATGTAGCTTAATCACTAGTGGTTCTCTAAGAAGCGCCAACACTTTTAGATACTGACACTTTTCGGACATGTGTCCGAAACTCTTTTAATGTTCACTCTTTTGGTGATGTGTCTGACCCATCTTTAGGCCATGTGTTCTTTCTTGAAGTTAGACCATGTTTTGACATGTTAAAAAGAAAGCCAAATATTTTGATATATTGCTATCTTGTACTATGAATGAGTATATAATTGTGAAGACTATTCATACTAAAGTTTTACTCAAAATTTATTAATAAAGAAGATACATAATTATGCTAAGGAAGACGCGTTAAGGAGGTAATAGCAATCAGTGTAATTATATATATTTGTTGCACATGTTCCATAAAAGAACGATGATTATCTGCTACTATNAATAATAAAGAAGATACATAATTATGCTAAGGAAGACGCGTTAAGGAGGTAATAGCAATCAGTGAAATTATATATATTTGTTGCACATGTTCCATAAAAGAACGATGATTATCTGCTACTATGATCTTTTAGTCTAAAGATCTGCACTAGTTCACTAGATATAATATTCACTTGTCATATAGTACTGAGTTTCTTATGAATAGTAGTAATTATTCCCTTACTATGATAAACTATATAATGTGGTATGTAATGCATAATATTTGTCAAGTGTCCTTAACGCGTCAGTATCCTACTGTTTTCAAAAATGTCTTGTCCATATTGTGCTGTCTCATGCTTCTTGGGTCTTTATTAATATAATGNGTAATGCATAATATTTGTCAAGTGTCCTTAACGCGTCAGTATCCTACTGTTTTCAGAAATGTCTTGTCCATATTGTGCTGTCTCATGCTTCTTGGGTCTTTATTAATATAATGATCATTGCCAATTGAATGTGTTGATAGTGGTGGTCTCATGGATTTTTTTGCATAAAGCCAATGTGTTTAGATTTGAAAGTGCCACCATCAAGTTCGTTGAAACAATAGACATGGCACCGGATAATAGTCCCTACTTGTTACCCCTATTCATAAAGTTAAAATGGGATACCTTACTTGCTACTGTAAGTGGAAAAAGTCTTTTACCTCAAGATTTAGACTTAGAAAAACGAACACAAATTACACCATTCCTCTTGCAAAACAAGCAAATTGGTAGAGACTAGGATTGGACTGGTCGGAGGCACTCCGATGTTTACGTCAGTAAGGGGTCTAGCAATGAATAGGTACAATAGCAGGGAAGAAAGTGCATACCTTAGCCTCAAGCATTTGCCCAGTATTTATAATGTCGCATAATGTCCCTTCTTCTAGGATTTTCCTCCTTTTAGCTATGCTAGGTGGCACACCTATAAGACAGCCGAATTCTTCATTTTGGCCCTTATTCCCTCTGGATTTTCCTCTTCTTTACCACGTTTATAATCTATTCCTATAATTTGGGTAAATTCCTTATCAATCTGCCATTGCCTCTAACTTCTCGGGATTGTCTTGCCATTATCTTTAGGGGAGTATTTTTGGTAAAGGTCCTAATTGTCATCTTGGGTCGGCTTTAGCTTGGTTTGATTAATAGCTTAGGCAAATTTGTCAGAGTACTTTAATTTTTTGGTCGGTCCATCGTGACCGAGCACCGAGGTTTATAGCATGGTTAGTGATTGTCTTGCTTCAGGTGCACGTGTCTTTGCCACGTGCATTTATTGACTGGTCAATCATGCTTTTTCATTTTATGTCCCAGCAGTTACCATCCGGGCAACATAATTAGTTCTTGCTAGCTCCCTTTTGTTGATAAGAATTTATTGAGATTATGGATAGACTATTTTTTGTGGAAAACATTATTACTGCTGGAGATATATTGTCTGATTCAACATAAAAGGATCTCTCTCTCTCTCTCTCTCTCTCTCTCTCTCTCTCTCTCTCTCTCTTCTGTCATAGATGGCTCTCCTTCCTGTAACCTTCTTATCCTTTCTCCTCTTTCCAAGTATTTTCATCTTTCCATTGCTGATCTTACTGCTCTATTATTCTCTCTCTCTCTCTCTNCTCTCTCTCTCTCTCTCTCTCTCTCTTCTGTCATAGATGGCTCTCCTTCCTGTAACCTTCTTATCCTTTCTCCTCTTTCCAATTATTTTCATCTTTCCATTGCTGATCTTACTGCTCTATTATTCTCTCTCTCTCTCTCTCTCTCTCTGTTGCAACTCTTTTTTCTGTGTTGCCTACTTGCAAAACTCTAATGGACGTCAGCCTAGAAAGTCCCAGCAATCTGCAATAGAGCAAGTCTTGCTCATGGATTCGTGGCCCCAATAACCATTTAATGAAATTACTGATCCAAATGTTAACATGGTTTTGCATTTTAGTTCTGCTTTGCATTTGGATTTGTGGGAAGAGTTTTTTAGACTAAATACTTATATCGGCTTTTCTTAACTGATGCATTAGATTTTGGGTCCCATCAACAATAATGAAATTTGTCTCCGAGGTTTCTCCAGGAATGGGGATCAATGTGCCTAAGTTGATGTAGAATTTGCATGATGATTGTCCACTTGCAGAGCAAATATGAGTCTTTTTTGAAATCCTACAATATTGCAATGATTTTCATGTTTTCAGAAGGCTTGGTTTCAGAAATTGAATTTGAGGCTTCATTTATTACCATATGGGTAATGAGTTGTCACAGACAGGTTTCTACTTGCTTTTAAGGTTTCGCCAGTATATAATTGGCTGTATTTGCTTAGACAGTTATTAGTGCTTGAAATGAACAATATTTGGAAAAAATTTGAAGATTATTTGTTTCTTGAATAATAAACTTGGAAGCTACAAGTGCTATTTTCATCATCATTTTCTGATGATAATGTGTAGATCTCTATTGACACCCACCCTGTAGAAAAGTGTGTGCAGACACTTATAAAGAGTTGACGGTTTCATTTTAGAATGAAGTTAGGATTGGTATACTTCCTGGCCAAGCAACACTGCAGCAGTTACAGGGGCTTTTTGGCAAAAATGAGTAAAACTCCTTATAGCATCTTCAATCTTTACCCTTCTTTAAATCCAATGGTCAAATTTTACCTTCTTTAAAGTTGGGTTTATCCTTATTTAAATTTGAGTTTCTCTTTGTTTAAATTTAAGTCTCTCCATTAAGAGATCTATACCAAATCAAGTTTTTTACCTTTTTTTTTATTAAGTTTGAGTTTCCATTGGAGATGGTCTTAGCCATCCATGGACTTCCTGTTTAAAAATGAATAACTTATAAAGGTTTAATGGCTTAGTTTATCCCAAAAATGAAAAAGCATGTTTCTGCTAAGTATTTTGTGGAATATGCAACTAAAGATTTTTTAGTTTTGTGGAATTAACTATGGGTTGATTTGTTTTTGATTATATACTATTTTGACTTATCCAAGCCCGACTTAATTTTTTCATATGCATAGTCTCCAGTGTTTTTTGAGGTTTACTAGTTGCATTGTTACTGGAATACATATAACAGCCATTGACATGATATTGAAAATATGATTGTGTGTTTTAACTGGCTGACAATATCTGCAGAAGGTATCTCAGTTCATGAGCCGTGCTGCACGCCTTAACGAAGCGTTCTCGGTAGTGAAGCGGGTTCCTGTCATACGACCATCGCTGCCAGCAGCGGGGTTGACACCATGGCCTGTGATGAGTTTGAGATGAAAGTAATGTTGTGATATACGTAGGAGGAATAAGTGTTGGGATGAGGTATGTTCGTGGTTTTTATGCATTTGCTTGTATAATATGTCCAGCTTTATTTGTTAATCAACCTTGAAGTTGCTAAGAAACTTGTGTATGATTGAAGCTCATGTATAAATTTGACTTAATTTCTGTGTGTCCAAGATATGCTCTTGAGGAATTTCGTTGTTTGCATCTCTACTGGGAAGAATATCACAATCTTTTATTATTGTAGAAAAATGTTATTTCGTCCCACAAGTATCTAAATATCTGCTGGATGAAATGTGTGGGTGGGGTGCGGGAACTGGCTTCAGCAAGTAAGCACATTTTGTTGAGATTTGACTACGAAAAAGTTCAGTCTCGTGAGTTACTTCCATTTTGTTGAGATTGAGGTACAGTATTGCTTACATCTGTGAAATAGAATTTTGGGTCTGTGTTTGATGGAATGGATGGAAAGAGTGAGAGTAATGCACTTTTATCAATCAATGGAGAAATTTCTTATTTTCTTCTTTGTGTTTGATGGGAGGGTTGACAATAGAATAAGACTGATGTTGGCTCTTGATGGTGTAGTAGACGTCCGNCAAAACTCTAATGGACGTCAGCCTAGAAAGTCCCAGCAATCTGCAATAGAGCAAGTCTTGCTCATGGATTCGTGGCCCCAATAACCATTTAATGAAATTACTGATCCAAATGTTAACATGGTTTTGCATTTTAGTTCTGCTTTGCATTTGGATTTGTGGGAAGAGTTTTTTAGACTAAATACTTATATCGGCTTTTCTTAACTGATGCATTAGATTTTGGGTCCCATCAACAATAATGAAATTTGTCTCCGAGGTTTCTCCAGGAATGGGGATCAATGTGCCTAAGTTGATGTAGAATTTGCATGATGATTGTCCACTTGCAGAGCAAATATGAGTCTTTTTTGAAATCCTACAATATTGCAATGATTTTCATGTTTTCAGAAGGCTTGGTTTCAGAAATTGAATTTGAGGCTTCATTTATTACCATATGGGTAATGAGTTGTCACAGACAGGTTTCTACTTGCTTTTAAGGTTTCGCCAGTATATAATTGGCTGTATTTGCTTAGACAGTTATTAGTGCTTGAAATGAACAATATTTGGAAAAAATTTGAAGATTATTTGTTTCTTGAATAATAAACTTGGAAGCTACAAGTGCTATTTTCATCATCATTTTCTGATGATAATGTGTAGATCTCTATTGACACCCACCCTGTAGAAAAGTGTGTGCAGACACTTATAAAGAGTTGACGGTTTCATTTTAGAATGAAGTTAGGATTGGTATACTTCCTGGCCAAGCAACACTGCAGCAGTTACAGGGGCTTTTTTGCAAAAATGAGTAAAACTCCTTATAGCATCTTCAATCTTTACCCTTCTTTAAATCCAATGGTCAAATTTTACCTTCTTTAAAGTTGGGTTTATCCTTATTTAAATTTGAGTTTCTCTTTGTTTAAATTTAAGTCTCTCCATTAAGAGATCTATACCAAATCAAGTTTTTTACCTTTTTTTTTATTAAGTTTGAGTTTCCATTGGAGATGGTCTTAGCCATCCATGGACTTCCTGTTTAAAAATGAATAACTTATAAAGGTTTAATGGCTTAGTTTATCCCAAAAATGAAAAAGCATGTTTCTGCTAAGTATTTTGTGGGNCATGGATTCGTGGCCCCAATAACCATTTAATGAAATTACTGATCCAAATGTTAACATGGTTTTGCATTTTAGTTCTGCTTTGCATTTGGATTTGTGGGAAGAGTTTTTTAGACTAAATACTTATATCGGCTTTTCTTAACTGATGCATTAGATTTTGGGTCCCATCAACAATAATGAAATTTGTCTCCGAGGTTTCTCCAGGAATGGGGATCAATGTGCCTAAGTTGATGTAGAATTTGCATGATGATTGTCCACTTGCAGAGCAAATATGAGTCTTTTTTGAAATCCTACAATATTGCAATGATTTTCATGTTTTCAGAAGGCTTGGTTTCAGAAATTGAATTTGAGGCTTCATTTATTACCATATGGGTAATGAGTTGTCACAGACAGGTTTCTACTTGCTTTTAAGGTTTCGCCAGTATATAATTGGCTGTATTTGCTTAGACAGTTATTAGTGCTTGAAATGAACAATATTTGGAAAAAATTTGAAGATTATTTGTTTCTTGAATAATAAACTTGGAAGCTACAAGTGCTATTTTCATCATCATTTTCTGATGATAATGTGTAGATCTCTATTGACACCCACCCTGTAGAAAAGTGTGTGCAGACACTTATAAAGAGTTGACGGTTTCATTTTAGAATGAAGTTAGGATTGGTATACTTCCTGGCCAAGCAACACTGCAGCAGTTACAGGGGCTTTTTGGCAAAAATGAGTAAAACTCCTTATAGCATCTTCAATCTTTACCCTTCTTTAAATCCAATGGTCAAATTTTACCTTCTTTAAAGTTGGGTTTATCCTTATTTAAATTTGAGTTTCTCTTTGTTTAAATTTAAGTCTCTCCATTAAGAGATCTATACCAAATCAAGTTTTTTACCTTTTTTTTTATTAAGTTTGAGTTTCCATTGGAGATGGTCTTAGCCATCCATGGACTTCCTGTTTAAAAATGAATAACTTATAAAGGTTTAATGGCTTCGTTTATCCCAAAAATGAAAAAGCATGTTTCTGCTAAGTATTTTGTGGGATATGCAACTAAAGATTTTTTAGTTTTGTGGAATTAACTATGGGTTGATTTGTTTTTGATTATATACTATTTTGACTTATCCAAGCCCGACTTAATTTTTTCATATGCATAGTCTCCAGTGTTTTTTGAGGTTTACTAGTTGCATTGTTACTGGAATACATATAACAGCCATTGACATGATATTGAAAATATGATTGTGTGTTTTAACTGGCTGACAATATCTGCAGAAGGTATCTCAGTTCATGAGCCGTGCTGCACGCCTTAACGAAGCGTTCTCGGTAGTGAAGCGGGTTCCTGTCATACGACCATCGCTGCCAGCAGCGGGGTTGACACCATGGCCTGTGATGAGTTTGAGATGAAAGTAATGTTGTGATATACGTAGGAGGAATAAGTGTTGGGATGAGGTATGTTCGTGGTTTTTATGCATTTGCTTGTATAATATGTCCAGCTTTATTTGTTAATCAACCTTGAAGTTGCTAAGAAACTTGTGTATGATTGAAGCTCATGTATAAATTTGACTTAATTTCTGTGTGTCCAAGATATGCTCTTGAGGAATTTCGTTGTTTGCATCTCTACTGGGAAGAATATCACAATCTTTTATTATTGTAGAAAAATGTTATTTCGTCCCACAAGTATCTAAATATCTGCTGGATGAAATGTGTGGGTGGGGTGCGGGAACTGGCTTCAGCAAGTAAGCACATTTTGTTGAGATTTGACTACGAAAAAGTTCAGTCTCGTGAGTTACTTCCATTTTGTTGAGATTGAGGTACAGTATTGCTTACATCTGTGAAATAGAATTTTGGGTCTGTGTTTGATGGAATGGATGGAAAGAGTGAGATTAATGCACTTTTATCAATCAATGGAGAAATTTCTTATTTTCTTCTTTGTGTTTGATGAGAGGGTTGACAATAGAATAAGACTGATGTTGGCTCTTGATGGTGTAGTAGACGTCCGATTAATTTATATACAAATTAGATTGTTCATGTTTCACCCATTTTACAACAAATTAATCATATTTATATAACAATTAAAGATTGTAGTAATCATGTTGGAAAAGGAGCAATGAGAAGGCGCAAGTTATGAATTAGGTTGGAAGTTTTCATAAAAAAAAAAAAACAGAAGCTCCACAAAGTGACGGTTTGAAATGGATAGATTGTGCATCGGTTGTTCAGTCCCCACCAAGTGACAGTTATACTACAAGGAAGAACGGGAATTTTGTGCTGGAAGTCTAAACAAAGGCCTGCAGCCCCTACATTTAGAAAAAAAAAAAAAATAATAATCCAAGAGATTCTTTATAATACATGGAGCTGACGGTTTTGCGGCATGTATCTATCATGGGTAGTTTATTTAGCAAAGAGCATGGGACATGTGGGGAAACCCACTAACTAAAAATCTGCCATTAGTGGAGGAAGTGGTACTTGCTGGCACACAGACGAAAAGCCATCTGCAGTAGGGGTTCAACTTGGGTGGGTTAACCGAATTTAACTTAAACCCAACTCAAAAAAAATAGGATTTAGGTTGAAATTTTTAATAATTGGATTAGGTTTGGACAGAAAAATACTAAACTGAATTGAATTCGGGCAGTGTCTGAATTGAATTGGGCTCGATTCGAATATATAAATCGATTCAACTCGAATATAAAAATCTGACTCAATCCGAACATATTTAAAAATAAATATATAAATTAATATAGCAATACAGTTTACAAGTTAAAAGACTAAGGTTCAGTCTTATATTAAACATTTGGCTATTATGTCTTTATGTTAAACATTAATTTTTATGCTTTAAATATTATGATCTTTACGTTAAACATTTAATTGAAGTTATTGTTTGTTACTTTAAGTGAAATACTATATAGTATATACTAGGTTTAGAACAACAGGCTAATTTCAGACTTAAATGAATCTAACTCGAATTCTAACTCGAAATCAATTTGAATTACGTGATTCGAATTTTAACTCAAAATTTGTTCGAATTACGTAATTTGAATTCAACTCAAGTCCGCCCAAATCAAACTTGGACAATACTTGGATTGTGTAGTTGGGTTGAGGTTGGATTAAAATTAGGATTAAGGTTGAGAATTATACACCTAGAATTGAGTTAGGTTTAATCCATCGACCCGCCCGAGTTTTCCGCCCCTAATTTGCACCCATACACGTAAATAGAAAAAACGGAAAAAGAAATGGTGGAGAAAAGAGAGAAGCTGTGAAAAAAGAGGGGATTGGACGGTTAACAAAGAAAGAGTGAAAGAAGGGGCAGAGGAAAAGAGAGTTTCCAGTTGACAGAAGATCAGAGAAAGTTTAGATAAGAGACAAGAGGGTTTACGGGGAAAATATTCTGAGCATATTGAGCAGCTATAAACCTATTTTCTCTCCCTCTCTTGTTGATTTAATCTCTCTAGTTTTTGGTTGTAGCAGATTGGTTCAAAATCACAGCAACCCCAAACAATTTTGTTGATTCCGAACCCCTCTGCAGTCACCAATTGTAGGAGTTTTCAATTCCTTTGAGTTCGGTGCTGCGCAAAGAGATTGCAAGAGTGTTACACCCCTATTTGGGAACCGGCAAAAGCCTAGTCATCTTCTTATTACCAGCCAGAGTCTTTGACTCTTTCATCAAGCCACATTTCATGGAGACTTTGACTCTCCTGGGCAAAACATCACCGTTGTGAAAATGTATACGCACACCAGAAACAAAGAAACCATAGCACTCGGAACAAAACTTGCAATGGCGAGTTTCTCATTAGTTATAAATATTGAAGTTTCCCATTCCTAGAGTTCCGGCAAAAAATCACGAGAGTTTTAAACCCTTCCGCTGGAATCGGCAACAGCTTCAACCACCCCTCAGAATCAGCAAGAGTCTTCGACTCTCATCAAGGTGACACTTCATGGAGTCTTCGACCCCCCCCCCCCCCCCC